ATTGCTAACTGTCACACCAGTCTTTTGGTCAGAAAAGCCACCACACACCCCAAATTAACAGCTGTATCGGGTCACTAACGTAAGTTATGTGAGTATCACGGGGAACCCATACTGTGCTCCTTTAACCTAAGGACGGCCATAGTGTAAAACTTCATCACCCCATTTTAAACCACTAGATTAGGCAGGTTTTACTGGACCGACTTCACCTTAAAGACATTTTGGGATAGGTTTGTATAAATGTCTACAAACATGGAGACAAACAGAGGATACCAAAAAGGAGGTCGAAGTCTCCGGTGATGAAGAGTTCTAGCTTCAAACACGCAGTTAAAACCATTACCCATTCGCTTTTTCGCAACTATCACAAATCAGGACCGACGGTCATAATCTGACTCCTCATCAGGGATAAAAGACCTTTGATGCCAGTGACAATGATGTTAGTCTTTGTTTCCATGGGCTCTCAGTTTCGTCCAGTCTGTGCATCGAGCTGCGATGACTTGCTGACTTTGTACTACTTTAGTTTAGAAGGTGTTTTTCAACGAGTGTCTGCCAGGTGGCAATGGTCGTAAGTAGTCTGCCTCCATCCCTCATCGTCACTATTCTTATGTGAACACTGTTGAGGTGTCTGCTTGGGTTCATTCAGCCATTAAGAGTGTAAATATCCTACTTCTCTGACCATTTAGCGAAGAACTTCCATCATTGATGCTTTTAAATCAAAAGTGGTCAAAAGCTTTTGCGGCTTCAACAACGCTACGCACCTTCAGCCATCTATAAGTCTTCTTTGTGGTATTTTGGTATTTTGCTAAATTTCATGCAGCTTAAATATGTTAGGATAGCGTTATGAGGGAAAACCTCCAACATATGGTTGGAACACATCGGTACCAATAAGAGTACCAAAGCCTTAGTGCTAATCAAAAAAAGCACGAAGAAGTTATGATGTTAACAATCATAGCATCTCCTTCACCATCCCGTCCCAATTCATGTGAAATTTTGTGTCTAAGTGGTTCATCCATTTAATACTTGGTACTAAAGTAGATCACCCACGGACTACGCAGTCCAGCACAATGATTGTTCGCCTTAATGCAAAACAGCAATACACCATGGAATTTCTATAATGTGTGAACATAATCGCTGCTAAAGTAATCAACATCAACCTCTAATAATAGCAAACCTTCCTACTGACTAATATTGTTGGAGATAATTTTTTATACTATTGTCACAGTTGTTACCACCGCAATAAAAATACGTCATAAGAGGTCAAGGCGCAGCTGTGCGATTAGAATTAAATGCAACCAGCCCGTGTTGATATTAGATGGTTGACAGGAGACAGGCGACTTTTAGCTCCATCCCGTTGGGACACCAACTAAAGTACTGCATTTATAGGCATTTAATGTAAGAATTTTTGAGCCAAGATTCATCATATAATATCAAACTAAAAATTTTGCATTTTAAGGATCCAAGTATTTTTTTCTGGTACCTACTAAATAGTTCATTTTAAATTTCCAAATTGGTATGTCCTGATACCACATCGTCTGCAAAACAAACTGCACTGGGGATGGACCCATTTATGGAAGGAGTACCGAAGACTGGGAGATATTTGAAAGAGGTCTACCAGAAATCAAAAGCTGTTCTTTAAAAGGTTATTCAATTCAATTAAATCCAGCGTCTTTTGTTTGCCGGATTTTAAACCAAATTCCAGGCTGAGGCTGCCAAAATAAGTTGAGTCGATTTCAGTGGTCTTGCTGTCATAAGTTGTAGCCAGTTTAACAATCTACGACAATCTCTTTCTTCTGCTGTACTAGCTTGCTTTGGTCCACTGACGATGCAGAGGTATCTCTTTAAGAGATATTCATTTTCCCTTGACTTTTCCGGATGAATAGCAGTGCCAAGACATGAACGTGGACGTCTTCCTTGTTCGTCTTTACTAAACCACTCCAAGCAGACCCCAAGAAGAACTGATAAATTGTGCCGACTATTTGTCAAGATATTTTACCTACTGGTAATGCTATTGTATAACTGTCCTGGAACAAATTGCTAATCACCGTGAAAGCATGGAGTAAAAAAGAAATGGAAGCAAGTGGTCACGAGGGCCTGTGACTAACCTTTGGCGCCTGTGGTGAGCTCTTTTTCAAAATATTTAGGTAGGCACCACTGATTTTGGAGTTGTCATTAAACCACCGAAAATGATTATATTATCTCCCCAATAAAGCTGTTTGCGTAAAAGTTCTTCACTTATTCACTTTAGAGAAAAAGAATAATGTTCTTAGGCATCGTCTGGTTTGTTTAGAGTAGAGATATACGTGACAGAGATTCTAATCGAGCTGTTAATTTTGAAGTTTAGTGGATTTCAGGTCTTGGACAGATACGTACAGTAGTGAAACCAAGCTGGAAATCTATCGTAGACTCTTCAAAGGGAATAGACGAAGGCCCAAAACACTTAGAAGGATGTCAAAACTGCAAAGAATGAAGTGTCTCCACAGTTAGATGTAAAATCAAAACAGGAACAGCTCTTTAACATAGACACCTCAAAATTAGGTTTAAAGTCAATCATTCTACTCTAAATGGATAGAGGAAGTAACATTGATTCCTCCTAAAAATATAAGTACACTAGATCCCATTACCAGTCACGGGTCTTGTCTTTTTGGATGCATTTACGGCTTAGTCAACTTCATTAACTACTTTAGGATGATTCGGCGATGGTGCAGTTTGCTAATTTGAACGGTATTCCACAACGAGTTCATTCTACAGCCCAGCCGAAAATGACGAGAACATTTACCTTTAGGTAGATCCCATCTTACAAATGTATACTTAAATTTAGTTCCAACTGCTAATTTTCTTCAGCACTCTTCAGACGTAGCCAGAGATGAAATAATAGAAGAAAAAAGAAGGAGGAAGTGTTTTTTATTCACTTAGTTTCCCACACCTTCAAATAATACAGCAGCCATTGTGCAGTGACTGAAACGTCTGCGTAATTGAACATATGAACAGAAACGACAATCGTGAAGTTCTCGGAGGAACCAGCGACAACATGCGGCAACGTACACAAATAGTGTGAAGCAAATTCCCAAAAATGTGCTCATCGAATCGGTCAGCAACTGATGTTGATTTGTTACACCAAATGGCTATTCATGATGCCCCTTCATTGGCGGCGAATGTCGCAAAGTGGGGAGTCCATTCTTGGGGTTTCCTGCCTTTGAGTAAAAAAGCACCAGCTATTATCAGTTTTTTGTCGTTAGGAACAGATCTTTTTCGACTGAGCATCTTCAGATTTTTCAGGAAATGCAATGAACTACTTAAATGTGGTTTTAAGAATAAATGTCCCAAACAATTGTAATGCCACGAGCCCATCATTGAGGAAGTGACTCCCATCACTTAAAATTCCATTATGTGTAGTATGTAGTGAATAAGTCAATCAACGAGACAAAATTGACTGACATTTTCAGACATTATTAATGTTTATCATTGGGATGCCTTTACTAGGCACTCTGTAGTATCATAATTTTATGCCAGGTTTCATTAATGGTTAAAAATACCTCTCAAGTGCGAGGCGTGCGATCAAAAAGCACCTGAGAGACTTTCAGTCAAAAACAGATTTGTGCCTGAAATTCCTGCATATTTCGGATAAGTGCTTGTTTTCTCATAAAAATCGAATTCTAACATGCTTGTATTTGATCGGCGAAATGAAAAGTTTGACCTCTAATACCGTCTCCTTGCATCAACAGCAAGCATAAACCGATACTTCATCCCGTATAACCTGTGTGTGGAAGTAACTTGACTAGGAGAAATTGCCAAATAACTCACACTGCCCACAACTCTCTAAGAGAGAATTCTAATAGTATCTCAATCTTGGCTGGAAAGTAGCACTGTTGTGTTGAGTACGGAGTTATGTCCGATGCCGAAAGTTAGACAGGGAGATGCCTCAATGTCGAGTCTTTCTATGCCAGTATTCTTCTGACTAGGGTTAAAGGCTAAGATGTGTGTATCTGTAATAGGCCACCATGTTGAAAAAATAGTTGTAGACTACGCTGCTTTAAAAACTCAAAATTTTTGTTTTAGTTCCAAACCCCGTTATAGGCGCTTATGCCCATCTTCCCTTTTTCTAAGTGAAATACAGAAATGCTATGAAATAATGAATTTCTCGCATAAGCTTTCCAATAAACTGGGTATGGGAAATCACTGTGTGTTAAAACTCCCAAAAGTTTGTCCGTGTAAAAGATGCAAGAACTCGTGCGTGGAAATACGGCGTAGGCCACCAACAATGAACTTCTATTACTTACTTCTCTAAAGCTGTATAACTTCTCCAGGTCCTTTAAATCAGCGAAATCATGGGCATTTAATTTTACTACTGAAGACCAAATTGAAGTTCTGACAGAAGTGTTCAAATTGCTTTTTACTGGCCTAATTATCTGCAAATCGTCTTTACCTAGGTGTGGTTCTACCTAACCCTAATGGCTAAGCCATGTGATATGTCTTATCTGTCACTTTGTTCTTGTTGTTGTTGCTGTTGTTGGAAGGTACTGGCGAGTTCAGAAGGTAACTAGAGAATTTCAACAATTGCAAATGGTATCCATGTGCCGATGTACAATAAGGAATTCATTCAAAACCTCATTTAACGCGCGATATCACAGATGCAGGGCTATGAAATTAGTAGACCTATTTAGTTAGGGCAGAGATATACCAAAACCATTTTTCTTAAGGGTATGCAGGGAGTTAACTTGTTCTCCCGTTGGTCAAGGCACAAAAGCTAGCCCAAAAGTTGCATAGACTCATCGGTTCACCTAATCAGATACCCCATTCTCCCATTGGTCACTTCCGACCAATTTTTTAACAGGGGGGGTGTGGATTGATTGGTCCACTAGTCACTAATCGATCAGAATATAAGGCAAGCCATTTTACGCAGTTCCTGCAGTATACGGTAGTGTATTTCACGTTTCCAACTACATTCCTTGATTTACTACTAATATCTAGTGGATTATAAACGGATTCCCGCTTCCCCTCCACGGATGGATTTGCCAACTGGATCTACCACTTTGGCCGTTACCGAGGCTTCCCAAATTCCAGAGAACGGGGAATCAAGTGAGTGCTTTTCATTTATTACATCCTTGTCTTGAATTGATAATACAATATATTCTCTTACGGTTATTAATACGCTAGGTTGTTTGATCGTATTTATCTGCTAAACCGGTATGTTTTCAAACTTATTTAGCAAAGGTCTTTTTTTTCGGGTACTTTTTGGTCACTTAATCACAAGACGATTACAGTCAGGGATTTGTAGGCAAATTGCTTGCATTGGGACTGACTTGGCAGTCAGGTAACTCTTGCGCATGCAAATAGTACTGCTATGTTGTCACATCTGGAGAGGAAAAAAGTATCAAAAGACCACTATTGCTCTATGTGGAATATGCTTTACCATCTACCCCAAAGGCAAATGCTTCGATGGAATTAATAGGCTAGAAAACAATGGTAGAATGTGGCCCACTTTTTTTTAATCTACAATACCTTTCCTTGTAAAGCTGAGGTCCGTTATGAACTATTTTACTGTAAATTTACTTTAAACAAAGATGGGACCACAAGCAGCGTTGCCAACCCAATAGAAGCTGGCCAGTCAACTCTTTCAAATAGAAATGTCTCGGTAACCGTAAGTACTTGGAATTACGTTGTAATCGTGTCAACATCCGTAACTTACCGTAGTTGACAATCCTGATTGCTTTAACAGGGACCTGATAATTGGTTGCATTATGAGGGTGCCAGCGCACTTTCTGGAGGGGATTTGGAAGCAGCCGCATTGGTGCCTCAACCTAAAAGTCAACCGCCACCACCCTTCCTGAGTCCAAGTCTGGCCACAATTAGTCTCGATGGCCTTCATGTTTCACAACTTGCCGGACTCTACCAACAAATAATGAACCCCGTGAGGCTATCTAATTTCATAATGAATTCTACCGCTACCGCCTCCGATCCTGCCAACAATGGCCAGAGCTACTACCAAACTCCTATGTACTCGGTAGGCATATAAATTAATGACATTTACTTATTCATTCTGGGAGTAAATACAAAGAATGCCTTGCCAGCAAGACACGAAAACAAAATGGGTCATTGCCGAATCGAATGGTTCTGCAGTTTTTATGCATTGATAGGCATTGAAATGGATATGTACCCGTCCATTCTACCATTTTAGGACCTCACAACGGGTGCACAAATCCAGCCTGTTCAACAACAGGTTAATTATGCTAGTTTGCCACCTGTGGCATTTCCATCTGAAAACTCTTTAATTACAAACTCACCACCGGCTGCAGTGGTTTTTTCCACATTATGGCAGAAACAGGCTTCTACGATAAACAGTAATACCGGATCGTCTAGCAACTTCACAGTGGCGGCCCCCGGCGCATTTTACGAGGCTGTAAGAAATCAGCCCATGTTGGTGGAGCCAACCGCATTTCCGCAACCACCAACATCTCCCGCAGGTTTTACTTTTGATCCAGCTGCGGTACAAGCCTTGGCGCTTATGATGGTGCAGCAAAATTCGCAGCAACTCCTGATGCAGCACCAACAGCAACAGCAGTTTTTGGCCAGCATGATCCAGACTCCCCAATTACCTCCACATGGAGCTATGCTCTCCACAACACCAGGCACTGCTACTAACAGCGCAGGTAGGTAGTTACTTAATGACCTTGCCGGATAAGTTTTGCCTCTTAATCGCCCATTGCCATGCTTTCCTTTTATTTGCTCTACCATCCGCGCCCAACTATTCGCCGTTTGGATTAAGTGAGTTTGTACCTTTTTTTCTTTTTATTCCCCTGTTTGAAATAAGTTCACAGTAAAGCGTTGCTCTTTTGTCTTTAGCTGCAGCGGGCAATCAAAACCCCGCCCAAGTGTTAGCCCCTCCTCCTCACCAACGACCCGTTGGTCGTGAGCAAATACCAACTGGACCTGAAGGATCGAATTTGTTTATTTGCTACCTTCCAGACAATTATGGCGACATAGAACTAGCAAGGCTATTTTCGCCCTTTGGGCAAGTGATCAGTGCAAAGGTGTATTTAGATAGAGCAACAAATCAAAGTAAATGCTTCGGTATGGATGAGTTTAATCTTACTGATTTTAAAATTTCCACGTCCTCAGTTGATCACAGTGTACCTATTTACAGGCTTTGTAAGCTACGACAACCCTGTAAGCGCGCGAAACGCAATTAGCGCAATGCATGGCTATAGCTTGGGAAAAAAAAGATTAAAAGTTCAGCTGAAACGTCCCAAAGGTAGGTCTTTGTCCCTTAACTACTGTTACAACCCCTTCTACCGTAAAATTAAAATATTTTTTTCGTTTTCTCTTAGAATCAAGTCGGAGATGATACTTCTCCCAATATTTCTCAATATAGTGTCAATTGTTTTACCCCTCAAATTTGCTTAACCTTTGTTAGTTTTGTAAAGTGGATCCTATGCTCTACGGTAAGTTGTTGCATCAGAGATCTTTTTTGCTTTACGTCCTATTTCGGGAATAATTGAATAGGCTAAGGTCATTCTCGTACATGCTATTCCATGTTAACTTCTGATATTTCTATGTGTGTATTGTCTGAGTTTGTTATTCTAGCCTCGTCTATATTAATTTTTACATTACCTAAATTTCAATTTTGATACATGACTATCTGTCTGAGTGATAAACGAGTGACCGTTTAATCATCCTCTCATGCCTACGCATGTGCAACGCGGCTCTTGCATTAAAAGTTCTGCTATACGCAAAGATTTAACATACTTTTTGCGTAATTTGCTTGATTTCACCTTTTCTTTCGATTCATTATGTCTATACGCATGTTCTTCCTACCAGCTTCTGGCTACATTTTTGCATGAATATTTTGCTTAAGCCACACACTGCATGGCAAGGTTTTTTTTCACGTCATTCCTCTTAAAACCACTTTTTCTTTTTTAGATGACTTTAACACTAATGAATCCATTATAAAGCCCTTGTAAGAAGTAGGGTAATTGTTTAATAAATATTTTTCTGTAACAATAGCGTTTAACTTGTGCTTTCGGGGTATATTGCTTTAGAGGAAGTACTTTGCTATCAGTACATAATCTTGATGGATCGTATGTACTTAGTTGGGCCTATTCGAGGGTTTTATGCCAAAATGTGGGTTTATGCCCATGACATAGTTCTAGGATGATGTTTAATGGAGTGATGAGCCTTTAACAAGTGGGTCAGAAAAAATTAAGCCAAAGTGTTAAGTATTAACCTGCTGTACTTTAATCAAAATCATTATACAGAGTAACTGAGCAACTGTTTGTTTAATTGTTAGGAGGTCAAATAAGTAGAAGCAGGCCTTGTGACAGTACTCTAGAGATGTGATGGGAGTAGAAGAACCTTCACCTACACACTGAGAAGCCCTTACCGGCTCACCAAAGGATGTTTCCCCACAAAGCTTTGCGATGCATACTGTTGTGTAGGTTGATTTGCTCAGTAAAATGGTGCAAGTTTCCTGTGATAAAGGTAGTTACTCATGAGGTGTGCCGTATGTGGTGACCAGGTTGTTCAGAAAAGTAGGCGCAACTATTTATTAGCACAGGTCTATCAATTAAATACCTAGAGTGCGATTTTTTAGCTTACGACAACAAAATTAAGAATAATGTTGCACTCTTTACAGCTACCCTCATTTATCAAGCCGTGTAGAATTAATTTGTTCAGTGGCTCCAAAATGTATTTACTCGTACTAAACAAGCGAAGTAGGTTTGTCATGATCAGAGGCCAGGGCAAAATAAATATCAGTGCAGTGAATTATTAAAAAAGAGTCAAGGTGGATATTTTGCTTGAAAATGGACAAATTAACGGCGAATCAATCTGTTCAATACGTACCATGGGGCACCCGATAGGAAAGCGATTTTCTATTACTACTTAAACAGCAGAACAGTCTACATTTCATTAAACGATCCTGAGTTGCGAATAAGAATATAGAAGAATACCGCGGCAAATTATATAATGCTCACCTCAGAAATTTCGTCTGCAAAACTTAAAAACGTCACAAACAAATAAATGAAACCACCCCAAAGGATATCAGTTCACAATAAAGAACTACGTCTTATTTTTTTCATATATTTGTTGATGTGTGCAAATCGGACTAAAGTCAGAGTTTCCGGTTCATTCGAAAGCATACAAAATCTTAGTAACGTTGTGAGGAACACTGGATTCAGTTTTGTTTAAACATTTATTATTATAATTTTGCTCCAGTTGCGGTTATTTGCCTTTACTGAATGCGGCATTTAAGCAGCTGGCTTATCTCTGTTTTCCAAGAAGATCGCACAGAAAAATATGCCAAATTTTGCAGTTTATGATCTCATTTTACGAAAGGGCAAACATATAAGCCCTTTTTTAGTGTTGATGGTTGAAGTTGAGTCAGAAGCGCCGTATGCTTCCTTGCACTCAATACGCGACCTACAATTACTACTGAATGAAAAATGGTAGCACATTGATTTTTGGGAGAAAACTTTACTTTGAAATTTGTTCGATAGACAGATTGGATTTGACCGAAAATTGCAAAAGTTCTTATTAACATGTAAGGCACATAATTTAAAAAATATCTGTTAATTATTTATAGATTGGATGTTTGAGAATTAGTTACTAATGTATCTTTTGCATGATTATTAGGATCGTGACAGAAAATTAAGAGCGCATATTTGTGTAGGACATCACCGAAAGCGAAATAAATTGGTACTACCTCTTCAATTACTAATAAAAATGACGTCCATTTAATACAAGATTCAACATTTTTCTTGAAAAGTAAAACTGAATGAATGCATCAAAGCCGTATTTAGAATATCTGAGCTCAAATTTTTGAGCAACAAAATCAAAGTGAAGCAGCTGATAGTACTGCTAGCACAACCCCAATTAGTTAAATTTAGGCTTTTGAACTGAACTGTCAAGGAACTATTGCTACAGCGTGTCTGTGAGATTGGCAGAGTTATAATAACGGCTCTGACCTTTGTAGCGAGACCAAACTGGAAAGCTTGTGATGATGCTATTGGCTTTGAGAAGGCAGTGGACTCTACCAACATAGACCGAGTTTTCATTGCCTTGTAAGAGGCACCTATTGTCACGGTTGCATTATTTGTGGACAGAAGAGCACTGCCATCCATATTGGCAGCGTGTTTCTGCCGTATTTTCGAAAAATTTTTTATTGACCAACGAGAGCAGGAACTGCGTAATGTAAAGAACCAATGGGTCACTTGAAACCGTCAAATTAGAAGCCAATCCTGGAGATTGCCAGCATCCTCATTACCGTATAGGAAGTAGTAAAAGCATGATTTGTTGATTTCTTGGTGAATGACTCAATGACAGTGCAGACAACGGCATGTTTTAATATTTGTCACTTAAATAACAAATTTATTCCTACTTTGGATGTAACGTATCATTTTAGGCGATTTGAAGCAGCCATTACATCACGTTATCATACGGAAAATCTTATGTTTCATATGCTTTACAAGACTTACGACCAACTCAATTGAGTAATTCTATCGTCTCAGCAAGCATGTTCAGCCTCAATTTAAAAGGTGGAAGATGCAATTCACATATTTTATCCTATCTCTTCTTTCAGTAGAATCGCACATTTGTAACCTCCAGTTCAACTTGTACATCTGCAAAAGAGGAAAAATACGCAGTACGATTCCAATCGTTTTTATTTGTACTTACTGGTTAAACAAACTACTGCCATAAGTATGTTGATATAATTATTCTTTTGCGGGAATAAATACGTCCTCTTTGCGTTTAATTCACATATCTGTTATGGGGCTGAGGTGTGGACTTCTTCCATGACAATAGTCTTGACCACAATTGCGTGAATATACAAAAACGGGTAATACCCCTTGTCGGAGACAGTCAATGCCAGCAATTAAAATCAACTTCTCATCATTTTGCTGGACTTATCCTTGCTACAGTCGGCATCACACTTGTTTTCAAATTTAAAGCGGCCCTCATTTTTTTAATTTTTTTAGCAGACAATATGGAAGTTATCCACTCCTCAGCCCTCTTAATTAGCTCAGACTGCATTTGCTGAACTCTTAATATGCTAATAATCACACTTGACCCAAAATCAACGAGTCACAGTAAATGCATGTGAGAGTGATACAATGGAACAAATGACACCTTAGCACGATGTTGTAAGATGCTATTTGGACTAGAGGAAACTTGCTCCAACTTGACGTCGCACCACTGTACCATCTCGGATAGGATGTCCACCTTAGATACAACCAATCAACTCCAAGCTACAAATTATCGCTAAAGTTTTTTGTTTCTATTTATCGCAAGTGAGAAATTTAAGTCTGTTTTTATCTTAATAATGTTTTCCTATGGACGGTTATTAAAATTCTTGAGCGGAGATAAAAGCGCCAAATTTGTTATAAATTTTTCTCTTTATTAGAGTGCTTATTGTTCCCTTTGATCTGGAGACCCGAAGCAGTTTCGACCATTATAGCATTTTAGAAAATCTCATAATGCAATGAAGAGTTGGTATTAGGTGATTTGGGAATAAATGTTGGATTTGTTTTATGGATGAGTAAGCGCTAGCGGTGTAGCACTTAAGTCGCCTCACAGATGATAATGATCGACGACAGTAATGCGTATTTAATGCTCGTTCCAGCAAGATCGAATGGCGAGTAGTGACAGATGGTAGGAAAACGGGATATATTCTACATATATTAAAACTAAGAATACATCAGCCAGAAAGCTTACTTTGCTACACACTCACGGCTGTCCCGAAAATCACAGACCTCCAATTAGGGCAGAAATGCTTATTTGTTGAGAAATACAAATATTAACTTATGAAGAATCAGAGCCTTAGTTTTATACACATCAAAGGGTATGTTGTTGTAATGGCTTTACCTGCAGAAGTGGGCTACAGTACTTCTAACCGGTTTGTATGTCATGGATCAGTCTAAGCACTGACAAGTAAGGCGCCAGCTACCAGTGTTAGTGACTGCTTTTACTCAACAAAGCATAACGCTCAGGATTCTCACCGTAGGATACATGGCAGTTGAATTCAAGAATGTCTGTAGATTTCCAAGAGTAAAGCGTAGTCAGGGAATTGGTCGTCAATGGTGAAATTATGGGCCTGTATAATACACAGTGAATGATACCACCAAAGGTACAAGTCCAAATGACACCATTAGGCCTAACTAAAGTCCATCAAGACGGTGTCTTCGCTAAAGATTCAGAGATAGCTAGACTTTATATCCATATTCTGTAAATAGAAGAAGTTCCTTTGGTCATACCCTGGACCCTGAAGTGCTCTTCGTGCTATGAATCGGTAAGTGAGTTGTAACTAATAAAGCAATCATCTCTTCTATCCCTCAAAAAGAGTTCACTGAAAAAACCATGACACTTTTTAGTTGTAATGTTAAGGACATAGTTTATTGAGGTCGATGACTCCCGCTCGATTACTAGATTCGTGTTCCCTGAGCCCCCTTTGCCTAAAAGGCATAATCAGACAACCCCCCACTACATAACCACCAAATCTTTTTGAGTACCACCCCCAATTCCCCCCTTTTAAATAATCATTACGTTAATCATTTCTGGTAGTCTCCTTTCGCCCGTTAGTAGGTTAACTTCATCCTCTTACACGCCTGAAAATGTTCCTTGTAAAGACTCATTTTGTTGTGATGGACTGCAAGTAGTTGACAATAAAACTGTGCATTGAAGTTAAGGCAGTTTGTTAGAAATATGACTTTTATCACCATGAGTACATCTTTGTTCTACGGATGATGGAAAGTGTAG